AACACAACACAACACAACACAACACAACACAACACAACACAACACAAAACACAACACAACACAACAAAACACAACACAACACAACACAACACAATACAATACAATACAATACAATACAATACAACACAAAACAACACAAAGCATTACAACACAACACTACACAACACAACATAACATGAATTAGCATAACATAACCTAACATAACATATGTAACATGACATAACATAACATAACATAACATAAGGTAACATCACTCAACACAGCACAACAGAACACAAAACAACACAAAACGCTATACAAAACAATACAACACAACACCACACAAGATATCACAACACAACATAACATGCCATTCGTCAATTTTATCTTTTTCCCTTTTTTGTCTCTACCTTTATCTCTATCTTTGTCTCTGCTGTTTTTTTATCTTTTTGTTTTTATATTTATCACTTCCTTGACTTTAATTCAGATCTATATATGTACTCTTTTATTTATCAAAATATTCATCCACACCTTTGCTATTATATTAAGTATTTAAATTTTCCTTTGTCTTTATGTTTACATTTCTTTACTTTTATTTTAATCTCTGCATTTACCCCTTTCTTCTCTACATACTCAACTTACCCTTTTTCCTTGTTTGAGGCTTACACCCCTATTGCGGTTGTCGACTGGCAGTAGATAAACGACTATTAAGCGATTATCGATTATCGATGCTATTGTGGGTGTCGCTTAATCGCTCAATTAGCGACTGTGAATACTTTTTAATCGCTCATCCTTCTATTGCTGTTTTTTAGTCGTTGGATTTAACGTTTATAAAATTTACATAAGAAAGTGTTAAAATAATGGATAAAATTTAAGTCAATTAAACTGGAAGTTGTAAAAAATTGTGAAATGTACTTATGTATGTATGTGTCTGAATTGCAGATCAAAAATTGTAAGCAACAAAAGGTAACTTGCGCGGTTGGTCGAGCTGATGCAAGAGAATGAGGACATAGGCAAGGAATTTTCGGAAAGAATAGGGGCCGAAGCTCCGCTTCTATTGTGAAAGATATGCAATATATCTTGTGCATATAACTCCGGCTACGTCATCCACAGTGTTTTTGCGCAGAACCAACATCAAAGTTTACAAGCAACTGCATAATTTATTAATTAACTAGTGCTCGGAAATTTTAAATCTCTATTTTAAATTAAAGTTTAATTATTTCACTACACTTGTATGTGTTGAATTAAAATGTTGGGTGTCTGGCGCTGATGGATGGGCGAACAGAAGAAGGTCTGAGGTATATTCATACATGCACACATGGTTTTCTATGTTCTCTACAGATCCGTATGTACTATTTAAATTTAAAGAAATAAAAAATGTAAAGAGTTAGGTTGTTGGGGTAATTTATTTCACTATCAATAAATGGTTGCAATAATCTTATCAACTGTTATGTTAAATTATGGAGTTTTTACATTTTTTTGCGGATAACATATTGAAAACAAGGTTGGCCTACTTTTTTCCAAAAGTTTAACCCATCACCTCGAACCAAAACGGGCCTCTTTGGCCCACTGTTTAAACAATGGCTTATAGATGGTTAAAATTTCCAGTCAATTAGTAAGCGCCAAATTTTTCTAAGGAGAGCCGAATGTAATGAAAAGTAATAGTAATTTTTACTAAAGAGGGGGAGCAAAACCTTCCTGGGGCTTTACCACCACTGAGTAATGCTAACGTAATTTTCACAGAGCCACCTAGTACTTGTATATGTATGTGGGACCCCAGAATAAAATAATCTACGAATGTAAAAATTTGTAAAAAAAAGTGTTTGCTTTTTATTGCAAGTCTGTTTAACATATTAAAAAAAATCACATGAAAATCAACTTGTCTTTGTTTTATCTCCAAAAATTTAAGAGTTAGATGCATTCAGGCCGCTTCTGTTAAAACTGCTTTCTGAGCTATTGGCGTTAAATTTTTGATGTGTTATGACTTTCTTGTTGTTGTAATATGTGTACAAAAAAGTAGTATTGTTGTAGTATTGAAAAAAAGTGTCTACTGCGAAAAAAATTGTTAGATTACCAGTATTCGACCCAAATTTAACTGTAATATGTTTTCATGAGCTACGCTCTTTTTGGAAAAATAAAGGAGGTCATATTATTGTCCAGTGGCGCAAATTATGCAAAAAAACTCCTTTAAAAATGTAATTTTCATTTCGTAAAATTGTATTTTTATACGAGTAGTATTTAGTTCCTTCAAACGATGTATTTCAATGTAATACAACATGAAAATTTTGCACAAAATTTCTTAGGCGCCGAACGCCGCCGCTCCGATATTTTCGTAACTCGGCGGCAGCGCGTGAGTAATGACGAAAAACGGCGGCGGCGGCGGCGAGGCTCGGCGGCGTATACCTCTACAATACGGTCCTATATCTATTCATGTGCATTAGGGTGGTCCTTAAAAAATCAAATGAACGATTTTTTCCAGTCTCACCCTCTCATTCGGTAATAACATGGTCGTCACATATGAATTTTGGTCCCGATTGGAGACGGTTAAGGCCTGTCGCACAGGGGGCAAACTTCAGATTCCTCTATGGAGACGCAAAAAATTAAAATAATATTATTTTCCATCTAATACCCAAAATCGGTACTACTATAGTCGAAGATATCACATGTAAATTTTGGTCCCGATAGGAGTCGGTTAAGACTCGTCGCAAGCGGGTCAAAAATCAGATACCTCTATGGACTCAAGAAATTAAAAATATATATTTTTTTAATTTAATACCAAAAATCGATACTACTAATGTCGAGGATATCACATATAATTTTGGTCCCTATTGAAGTCGGTTAAGACGTCTTCATAGGGTAATCTGAACTTTGACCCCTGTGCGACGCGCCTTAACCGACTTCAGTTGGGACCACAATTTACAAATGATATCTTCGACAATGGTAGTATCGATTTTGGGTATTTGATGAAAAAATAAATAATCTTATTTTTTTGATCTCCATAGAGGAATCTAACCCTTCCCCCTGTGCGACACGCACTAACCGGGTCCAATCGGGACCAAAATTTATACGTGTTATCTTCGACCGTAATAGCATTGACGTAGGCGTTGAGACTTAGGAAATCTGGTGTAAAAATTTGCTTCCTACACTTAAGGACCACCCTAATGTAAATACCAGAGATCGAGACCAAGTGTCTCGTATGGTGTTTACCACTGACACAATCACTCATCTCTCAAGCAAAGAGTGTTTCCCACCGTGGCAAATCACTCTGTGCGATCATTTTGAGTTTTCCGTTGTGGGTTATTTGTCAACTGCTAAGATTTCCCTTGGGCAAAGGTGAAGGGGAATATGTAGATGTAGAAAATTATAAACATAAATATTATAAAGATAAATATTAAGAAAAATATGAGGATGAGTAAAGATGAAGATAAAGGAAGGAAGATTAAAAAAAGGTAATAAATGATATAGTCACAGAGACTCAACCTGGGAACTAGGAATGTCCGATAATTAGTCGGAAAATCCCGGAGTGGTCCTGAAGATTCCCATAATCCGGAAGAAGTCTCGAAAATCACGGATTAATCCCGAGGACCCCGAAGACTTTCGTAGAACTGGAAGTTGGAAGATACTTGAATATCTTATTTGCGTTGCATCATAAAAGTATTATTTACTTGAAAAATTACAAATCAAATTGATTCGCTCTATAAATCAAATCAAAAATTTGTATTTCATATTTCGTTGACAAATCAAATCACAAATAAATTTTATTTTTTCTTTGGTCAACAAACCAAATCACAAATCAAATATATTTCTTAGTTGATAGCGGATTTTAAATCAATAAGGATTTAAACGCACGCAACCCTGCCACCGCATGACCACGACGTTGACGTTGCTTATATCTCTCTCTAACTCTATCAACAGTAAATTTGATATGTTTCTACGCACTTCTACGGTACCCTGCGTACACGTTCGTGGGTAACCGCGCTCTAACACTTATTTTTCTTCTTCCAGCGATAAGTGTCCGTGTCCAACAGCAACGGAAAAAGATATGCAAATAACCCTTTCCCACTGAGAGGAGCACACATCTACAAAAAATAAACCACATGTTCTGTTTTGTGGGTTATTTTTTATCTTAAATGGGACGGTTATTTTGGGACACTTTCAAAGTGTTGAGGGATATTTTCGACCTCTGGTAAATACACACATCTTATTCCTAAACTGCCTAGCACGTTTCTGTAATTCAGTATCAATACATACATTTAGGAGGCATTTCCGGCCAAACCATGTACATGTATATTGGTATTGGTGCCAATTTTGAATTG